GTTCAAAACTCGCCTTTGGACATTTCTGACAGTGACTCTGACTGGAAATGAGCCAATATACCGGCATATATGTTCCTACAACCTCAATATATCATCGGGAGGAGTATTAATTTGTCTTGCCTGTATATGCTTTTTTTGACTCTCGGTGTGACACTCGGATTCGAGTGGCTTTTGAAAAGGTCACAATGCAGATACCATATTTTCTAGAAACAGTTTTAAATCAGAAGAACATAAAGACACAGAGTGATATTATGCTAAGCTTCTCTGTGTCGTTTACCTTGCCCTCCTTGCAGCCGCTAATCAGTCGCCATTATCTGTAATACCTTAATGGAGAATCCATAGTAGCTGGAGAGGATGGTGTGGGTGAGTCAGAAGTAAGCTAAAGAAAAACATTGATTTTTATTTTAGTGAGTGGTTAATTTGTTGTTGTGTCTGTTAGTGTTCCTTCACTGATTAACTCCTAATGAAGGCTTCTGTTAACAAATTCACTGTCCAGTTTATCACTTCCGACAGTGACGCATCTCTTCTGAGCTGCAGGCTTACAGCTAGAGGCGCTGTGTGTCCTTTTAAAATGCGTTTTATCTCTCTTGCTGTTTGATCATTGTGGTGTGATTACTTTGGCTGAATGCATTTCACCTGCTGTCTGGTTATATACACGTGAACAAAAGATGGCTTTAGTTTTGTTACCTGACTTGTGCTATATTAAGACACTAGTAGGATTAACTCACAGATGGCCTCTTATGATCTCTTTATTTCTATGATAACAAGATCCATGGCAGCCCATGTGTAAACTTTTAAACCGTTTGCTGTGTATGTTTGTGTTAATTTGCAATATGTGTTCTCATATACATAATTCAGTTTGTATTGTAGCATGAGTATAAATAAGTGCCAGACTCATTCTTAAACCGATCAAAATATGGTCACAGATGTTTTGAGCTGATAGATATTTATAAAGGCTGTCAACAATGACTTACCATCCTTTCGGGTGAGTATGGGGCATCTCTCTGTCTTCAGTTACATAAGTTATGGCTAGATGATATTACTTGTCGCACATGTTAACCACCTGTCATATCTTTAATTTCCTGGTAAAAATAACATTTTGTTTGTACATGGATGCAATGAAAATAAACCACACTTTAAACCACACTAAAATAATTATAAAATCTTATCAGATTTTTCAAATGTGAGAGACCACACACATAATGATAAAAAAAATCATAGAAATAACAGTTTTATTCCTATAGTGTGTGGAGTGCAGTGATGTGACCAAGACAGCACACCACACACTAGCCGATTCCATTCACAAACAACCAGAGTCCTGACTGTGAACACGGGAAATCTCGTTAAATCTCTCGCGATCAAACGTGACTTTAAATTTGGCGGATGACGGGCAAGAAAATATGGCAATAATTGTATTTGGACAGAAAGTTCAAAATGAACAGCATTTATTTGAAAATCTTTTGCAAAAATCTACTGTCACTTTCGATTAATTTAAAGGGGTGGTTCACTGTTTTTTTTCTAGGCTTGATTGTGTTTATGGGGTGCAGTCTAACATGTCTTAATGCTTCATTTTTTTTAAAAACGCATTATTTTTCACATAATTTACCTTTAAACCACACTGCTCTGTCCCTTCTCTGAGAAACGCGTTGATCATTTCCTTCTTTTATGAAGCCCCTCCCTCAGAAATAGGCGATGGGCTCTGATTGGCTAGCTAGTCCAATGTGTTGTGATTGGCTCAACCGTCTCTAGTGCGCGTCTAATACAAGCTTTAATACAGTACGGGAACTGCACACTCGTCCATGTTTAACACTTCTCATAGCGATGTGAAAATAAGTGTTTAATTGTAACAGGTCATTGTTGGAGCTGAGTGAGAGAGAGAGAGAGAGAGATGCGGAGCGTGTGCAGAGCAGGGGGACGCGAGGAACAGTATTAAGAACTGCTGCTTTAGAACATTAGTACATTAACTTGTGAATCCATTAGAATCGTTAGAAGACAGAATCGCGAATGAATAGATTTTTACGTGCACCTCTAGTTTTCTCTTCCTCTCCAGAGCGCTCTGTCCCTTCTCTGAGAAACACCCTGATCATTTCCTCCTTTTATGAAGCCCCTCCCTCAGAAATAGGCGATGGGCTCTGATTGGTTAGCTAGCCCAGTGTGTTGTGATTGGCTAAACCGCCTCTAGTGCGCGTCTAAGTGTATAAATGGAACAGTTAATTGTCGGAGCTGAGCTGAATGAGAGTGAGAAAGATGCAGAGCAGGGGGACGCGAGGAACAGTATTAAGAACTGCTGCTTTAGAACATTGATTTTCAAACTTGTGAATCCATTAGAATCGTTAGAAGACAGAATCGCGAATGAATAGATTTTTACGTGCACCTCTAGTTTTCTCTTCCTCTTCTCTAAAGCAGCACAGCATGGCCTTGCCCCCTTTGTTGCCTTTTCCCAAGGGCGGGGTTTATCTGGGTTTGTGATGTCACAAACCCGGGAAGTAACTTGTTGTAGTCCCTACCAGCCGTTTTTGTAGGCATTAAACTTCCAGAATTTTAAAAGACGATATCTCCCTTTGCATTGAACTTTCAGCTTCGTAACTTTGCAGATATTGTTTATGCTCAAACAGCAACATTACACACTAACTAACGTTAAAAAAGTGAAATCGCAGTGAACCACCCCTTTAATGCATCCTTGTTGAATAAAAGTAATAGTTTCTTTTAAAAGATTACTGACCACAAATTTTTGAATGGTAGTTTATTATAATATTGATTGCTTGTTGATAGCGTCTTATTTAAATGGAAAATAAATTTACATTGGACCCAAAAAAATCCACCACCTGCCACTTACAGATATAGAGAGAGAAAGGTAGGGAGAGATACATGGTGGACAGCTTGAAAAAACTGAGTGAGGCACACTTGGGCACGTTTTTAAACATTGTAGCACATCCAGAAAGCGATTGAATAAGTTAAAGGACATCTACTCTGACTTTTGTCAGCACTTTAAATGAAGATGGACATAATCACAGAAATGAATGTGGTAGCTCTTTCTTTTCCTCTCTGTCTCCTCTTTGACATGTGCTGTCACGGCAGTGGGTGAAGAGCCCCGTGGTGGAGTTTGTGCCCTGCTTGCGCCGCCTAGCTAGAGATGTTTTGAAAAGACCTGTCTCTCATAATGGACATCAGTGGGGAATTCTTCACCATTATACAATACTGAGGAACAGAAGTGATGTTCTTTAAAGTTCAGGAGAATCATACTCGGGTTTTATATTTTGTGTGCTTACAGTAGTGTGATGTATTTTATGCCAGGTCATTAAACTCTTTTCTGAGCTCTGAGCCTCTTTCTCACTCACTAGCTCTATGCAGTCAGCTATGGCAAGCCAGTTTAACATTGTTTTTTTTTCTTTGTAATTAATACCTAGTAATCCAATAGTGACTAGTGTTGTTTTCAATTTTCACTAGTTACTATACTTTCAATAATAGTACTAATTTTAGTACTTATTCTAATGTGACTAGAATTTATTAATTGAGTCAATAGTTAATTAATTAAATGTATATTAATTATATACTAGATCTTATTAGCTTATTACCACTCACTGTCCTAATAGTAATTGTAAAATAATAGTGATCTGTGGTTCACATATCAGCTCACTTCTGACTAGTATTTTTGTAGTTGTTATTGGGACTTACTACTATTCCAATAGTTTTATATAGATAGGTACTTGCACATGAGAGACGTACAGTGGGTACGGAAAGTATTCAGACCCCCTTAAATTTTTCACTCTTTGTTATATTGCAGCCATTTGCTAAAATCATTTAAGTTAAATTTTTTTCCTCATTAATGTACACACAGCACCCCATATTGACAGAAAAACACAGAATTGTTGACATTTTTGCAGATTTATTAATTAGCTTATCTATCTATCCGTCTAATGTCTAGTCAGAATGGCTACTTCATGGTTTAGTTAAAGATCCTACTAGTGTAATTTGATGTTTAAAGAAGAAATTTGTATAAAGCTAGTGTTGCTTATAAGAAAAGTGCAATAGATACTAGTAACTTTGAATAGTTAATCATAACTTGTCAATGAATACTAGTAGGCTACTAATGAAATGTTACTAGTAAAACTATAGAAACCAATAAAATATATACTAATTAGAAGTAAGTAGTTGATATGTGAAGCACAGAACTCGAGAATTGAATGCAAATGCAAAGACTCGAGACTTACTTGTGACTTGCAAAACAATGACTTGGTCCCACCTCTGTTACAGGGCTTATTGGGTTTCTGTAGTTATTAAAAAATAAGTACTATTAACTAGAGGTCGACCGATGTATCGGTTTTGCGATTAATCGGCACTGATAGTTGATTGCTGGAACTATCGGTTATCGGCAAAAATCCATGCCGATAGTTTTCCCGGGTTGCGTCCATTGCTGGAGCGGCTGAGAAGGGTCTGCTGTCATTACACAGTGCGAGAGCGGCCTCTAGTGGTTGAAATCACTGACAGCATGTGCTACGTGCTATTGGAGTGTGTGTGATACCGGTGAGTTCTCCTAGACTCTTTTGATTAGATAATCAAGTGTTCAAGAATAGAAGCAGTTAAAGTGTGAGAGTATACATACAATATCCATATGTATCAACCCTCTAAATTGCGAGTAAATCACTCGCATATGCGACTAAATCTAAATTATGTCTAATATTAGCCAATTGCTAATAAATTCTCAGGTTTTACTCTCCAGTGTGAGTTGGAGGCTAAGTATAAGTTTAGCTCAGATATATTTTCACTCGCCGAACGGTTAATTAATCTGTATCGGCCAGTGTGATCCAACCTAGCTATCGGTATCGGCAAAATCCACTATCGGTCGACCTCTACTATTAACCTACAGTGGATAGTAGTTAAGTAAATGAATGATACAGCAGCTTGCTATAGCCTGCATTCAAACAAGGTGGCACTATAGCTGAACATCCAGTGCACCTACCGCGCATGCCTCTTCCTTGCACTGACCGGACGCAACGGTGCCTATTTTTTTCCTCCACTCCATCATCATCATCATCATCCCTCTCTATTTCTCAGGAGATGATGCTCGGCTCAGGCACACCTGCTTTTCACCTATCGGCTCAGGCTTAAGTGTAATTCCTCCAGGTTTTCCGTCAACCTTCCCTGCGGTATTCAGTCAGCTGCCTCAATCAGAGAAGTATTTCTTTAAACAGAGCTGCCTGTGTCGGCGGCTGATCCTCCTCTTTATTTTCCTCCTCCTCCTCCCTGCTCTCGGTGAGGGCTGCCGGGGATGGAAGCCCGCGCTAGTCGCCTCTTCATGGACTCGCTCTTGACGGCTATTCTCATTCGCGCTGTATCTCAGAGGTGCTGACTGGAAAAACATGCCGTTGAAATGGAAAAGCGGTTCGCCCGTCAGCTGGAAATTTCCCGTGCCCGTGCTTAAAACGTCCAGGTCCTCCCCACTCTCGCCAGCATACATGTAAGTAGCTGTAATATTAACGCGTTTGAGTGCGTATATCACCGTCACTAACTGAGAGCGCTAGTGTGTTTATATTCCGTCTTTAGTCGTTCATTAAGGATGCTGCTGCTGTGCTTGTTTCGGGGTCTGTGTCGCCTAATTGTGAACGTTTAGAGAGGTCTTTAGACCCATTTTATAACGTTTAGCGTGCTTCCGCGCGCCGCCTAGTTTTCTGAATCCACAGAGGATTTTCATGTGCTTTCTCTACTTTTTCTGAGTCCTTCTCACGGCTCTGTTTATGAGCTGTAGTACGCACCGGGCCGAAATAACAGCCAGCGAAGCAGGCTTTTGTCCTGGCTTGCCGTGCGCGCTGGATTCGTGTGCTTGTTGTGTTGTGTTGTGTTGTGTTGTGGGGTGGGGGCCCGGTGGGCTGCTGGAGGATGCAGCACTGATGCTGGATGATACACGGAACATGACCGCTAGCGCTTCCGCTCGGCACGATTTACACACCAGTGCACGACTAACTTCAAATGTGTACTAGAAAAGCAGCAGTGCGTCTTTAACATGATCTTCTGCGGATCGGCGCGCACTAGAGTGCTGTACATCAGGGCCCAGTTGAAACAAACCCTTTAAGAAAACCTTTTATTATTGTAAAGATAATTATCAAAGCCCTTTTATTATTGTAGATGTTTTCTTAACTTGTTTTTTTTTTTGCAAGCATTTTCGAACCAGTGCATCATCAAGCCACTGAATTTAATGAGACATATATTAATATAAATGCTTTTTTAACCTTTTTGTCAACAGCCTTGAAAATAAAGGCATTTTAATTTATTAAATGATTTTGTATATCGTGTTCAAGATGATCATATATTCTATCATGAATTAATGTAATATAAAAATGTAATATTCAGTTAAATTCACATTTACTTGTAAAGTGCTTTTCACGTTGCATATCATTTCAAAGCAGCTACAGAAAATGCATGTTTCAAATGTTACAATCAAAATGCCAGAGGTGACTTGAGTCATGTGATGAGATTTTGTACTCACGAAGTCATGAAGGAGAGCCCATCCTCTGGCAACAAAGTAATGTCCATATGGCAATAATACACAGCTCTAAAATAATACAAGTTATGTGGTTAAAGTCATGTATTCAGTTAGACAAAATGATGCTGTCCTTTAAGGCATTAAGGCAATGATTATGCTTGTGATTGTAATATAAAAATTTTGCAGTTTTGAAAGTCTATCCTAATATTGTGATCTATACACTGTACTGCTATTTATCTCTTTTTATTTGTTTTAGATCTTAATTTTCCTCAGGCACAAAGTTGAAACCATGATCAGCTGTTTGCGTGAGTGATTTGAGAGTTAACTGTGAAGCGAGAGTTTAAGGCGCTGATCTGTCTTGACAATCATGGGCTATATCCGTCTTCATTTGAAAGTGATTTTGCTAGTTCAATTCAATTCAAAGGCTGGATCTGAGAAAATGCCTCTGTTTTCTCTTTTGTTCTGTTAATAGTTTCTGTCTTTCTTAGTCTCTCTAGCCATAACTCTATTGTGCATATACAGTCCTTATGAATTTCCCCTTGAGAATCAATAAACTATGTTTATGTCTCTGTATTTTCTCAGATTTAAGGTTTGGGGTTGTGGATTACAGTGTTGAGTTCCCGACCCTGCTGTTGGCCCTCCCAGTCGAACCTTGCCCAGTAAAAACAAAGTCTATTTTTACTGCTTTGGCTGTGTGTTGTGTGTGATTACAGGGTGAGCTGTGGTCTCTGTATTTCTTAATGGATGGAGAGATGCCTCTTGGACACATGAATCATTCTCTTTTTTTGTGTGTGTTTTGAGACCGAAAATATTGAACAACAGGATGTTTTTGCCAGCTGTTAAAAAATAGAAGTAGGGAGAGTTTGAACATTCACACCAAGGATGAACTAAAAATTTCAATAATCGTTTAATTCTGTGAGAATAGAGAAGCCACACCACAACTATAACGACACAGAGGAACAATATCATAGGAATCTTTTTCAGAATGAATTTTTTCCAGCCAATCAGAATCCACCCAACTTAATGAGCTTGAGCATTTAAAGCGGCACATAACATGTAGCACACACTTATAATACACAGAACATTATCATATTGCTGCTCCACACAAACACATCTCTTCATCTGCACTGAGTTTGAGTTGCTTTAACGTGCATTGAAGAACACAACATAGTGGTCGACCGATATATCGGCCGATATTTGGTATTTTTCAAAACAATTTGAACACCCCCCTCCCCCCCAATTATGCAGCCCTAATATATATATATAGTTATCGTTATAGCTACTATTGTTGGTGTGAATGGACTTTGAAGTTTATACGTGTTTTTTCACCCCTAAAAAAACGTGTGTTGTTCCAGTGGCCTATATGAAAGTTTATGTGCGTGTGGTGTTAGGAAGGTGAGGATTCATTTAGTTGCATACACTCGTCCTGAAGTATTACCTCACCTCTAAATATACCCGCTACCTGTAGTGAGGATTTCACGCTTGGTAAGGCAAGGGAGAGGTGTCCATACTCAATAAAATACTTACACAGTAAATTGCAAACAATTTTAAGTGGACTGAGTAAGAACGAGCATGCATCACCACAAAACTCAAGCACACAGTCCTAAGGACACACTCAAGAAAAAAAAATGACATTCTTATATTTGTGGCTTGAAGAATTCTTGGGTTTCAGCTTAAAGGAGTGATGAGGAGTGACAGCCGGAGAGCTTCTGCCGCAGGGGGGAGAGAATGACGCACGCATGGGTGTGTGTTTGTGTTGACACAGGTGAAGACGGTAGACAGTCATGACAGATCTAAAGTCCTGCTCATCTACTGCTAAAAGGACCTTGGTCTTGACCTGGGTTCACATTATGATGATGAAAGCTTAACCTGAAATTTTTGGTAGCAGGGTCATCCAGGAAATTCAGGGTGTGTTTGTTTTGCTGCCAGCACTTGTCTAATGTGCTTTAGTCTCCTGTGAAGACAGTGTCAACAGACAGCAGTTCGTCCTTTTCTCATTCACTTTTCACAATGGATTCTCTGTTTCAGCTTTTTTTCCTACCCTGTGATCTCAGATGAAAGGATGGGATGTGTCAGACTTCTTGCTGTCGCAGATTGAGAGAAGGCTGCTTTATTAATTTTTGTTTTAAAAAATTTTTTTTTACAATAACTTTCATTCAGAATTCTGTTTGGAGGTCACCAGCTGTTTTTTTTTTCTTTTCTTTTCAAGATAAAAGCTGTTTCATGATAGAATTTTAAAAAATGACATTGAAGATCAGCTTCTTCCACGCTGAAATTAAAGTAGGGATGGCATCCTGCATGCTGAGTGTTGTTGCTGTACAATCTAATGAATTAATATTTAATATTATTCCAGTAAATACGATTTTCATAGGATATTGCTTGCAAGTTGCATGTTTTATATAAAATATTTATTTTTACAGCTGTTAAAATGTGTTTCCACGCTTTGTTTGAATGTTAAAGGGCATCATAAAGTGTCAGTGTTTTTATTATTTTGTTTGTCAGTTTCATGTTGTAATTAAATAATTTAAGGACATACCTAACACTTGGGTATAGTTCTATATCTTTTTTTCCAAAATGTGTGCATTTGTTTTACTTCAAAACAAATGTCCCTTACCTATAAGTGAACGTTTGATTTCTGACAGGTGTTGAGGTCTGTTTGAGTATTAATATAGTGGTACGGATTACAGTTCCAGAGTATATTTATTACAAACAGACTGTGGGTAGCTGTTTTGATCATGTGACCTCACCAGCTTCCACTGTGCCACACAGAATGACATGTGAGCAGGGTCCAAAATTAACTTTTTGCCACACCTGCCAACGGGGGGTGATTTGAGAAAATGTACTGGTCATGAATATTTGTACTGAACATGAAACTCTATTAGGTATTATTTTAAGAAGTAGCCATTATAACCATGGCATTATATACACCTCAATTCAAAAGTTTGGGGTCAGTAATATTTTAATTAATACTTCTGTTCAGCAAGGATGCATTAAATTGATCAAAAGTGACCGTAAAGACATTTGTTACAAAGGATCTGTATGGATATATGTTTCAAATGCATGCTGTTTTTTATTCATCAATAGAATTCTATTTATATTCATCAAACTTTCTATTCATCAAATTTTTCTCCTGGAGAAAAAAAAACACAACTGTTTTTAACATTGGTAATAATAAGAAATGTTTCTTGAGCACCAAATCAGGATATTAGAATAATTTCTGAAGGATCATGTGACACTGAAGACTGGAGGAATGATGCTTTGCATCACAGGAATAACTTGCATTGTAAAATAATTAATGCAGCCTTGGTGAGCATAAGAGACTTCTTAAAAACAAAAAACAAATAATACTGGCTCCAATCATGGGAAGAAAAAAAAATAATGCAACATACCGTTTCAGAACTTTTAGGTAATGTTTATGGCACACTATTTCCCTGCTATTTGCCGGTGAGTTAAAGTTCATTTCGGGCCGTGCAGTTCTTATTAAACCTACCAGCCAAATGTTGAGCAACTCCCAATCCCAAAGCCAATTTTCACTTTCATTTGGCACTTGGTAAGAGTTAATTTTGGGCGCTGCATGTGAGCGTGTGATTTGTATTAATGGGATTATATTGAATAATTCCGTTCTGCAGTAGTGTTTCGTTTGGTATAAGTCACTAATGCTCTTGCCAGTCAGGAGACATGAAGTTTCTTTCCTTTTGATTTCTTACGTTAGTTGTACTCCCACACCTTCACTGCTGCCTCGGAGCATAATCCAAATAAAACTGGAACCAATGTGACACGCAAACCATACGTTACATTATCAAAACCATATTCATCATGTAACGAGTTTGCACTTCCTCTGACATTAACCTGGCGGAAGACAGGAGGCAGCTGATTTGTCACACTTTCTCTTTCTGACCTGCCATCCCTCTTTTTGTATCCATCTTTATTTAGTCACTTCTGCTCAATCTTTATGCATCCGAGAGGAAATGCAGGAATCCAATTTTCACCTCAGGATCACCTCAGATAGGGAGGAGGTTGGAGAAGAGGGTTGGAAGGAGAGAGGAAGAAATGGTATAGAAAAGGGAGATGAGGAGAGAATGAAAGTTCAAGAGCATGAGACCGGAGAAGGAAAGGGGAATATGTGTTGTGAAGGTTGAGGATGTTTGGTAAGAAGTAAATGTGTGAAGGTGAAGTGGCGGAATGGAAATGGAAGCAATGCAGTGCAAAAAAGAAATGAAATGGAAAAAGTAAGCATGGTCTTCTCAATACTTGCTGCTTTTTAGCTTTAGTTTACTGTGTGATCAACTCAGATCCAGGAGCTTTTTTGAAGTTCAATTAGCGTTGCGTTTGAGTAGTGTTTTCAAATGTTGTGTGTAAACGCAGTAATGCTGATATATATCTTCTCAGTCTTTTTATTTCGTAAGGTTATAGTATTTATAAATCCATTATTTATAACCTTGAGTCAGTCACTCCTTCACATAAATTCACAAAAACTGAATAGATGATTTCTGATTCTGATCGTAAAACAGATGCAGAACTTCTGCAGCAGATGGCTTGTGCTCATCTCCCTGCATGTGTGATATAAATAAAGCATAGCCCCTTTGAACCCAGTTTAAGGTCGGAACAATTCCTAATTGCAGCAGCTGGACGTCCCTGAGTGGTCACGTGATGACATATAAAAACAGCACCACATGTGATCTGTTAGGTCGGGCCTCATGTTTACCAAAGCCATGCTGCAAATGCTTACTCGTTTTGCAATTAATAACCATATTGTTTCATTTAAAAATGATTGAAGTGTTATAGACACAGATTTAGGTTCTGTTTAAATGTGAATCACATTGATGAAGAAATGGTGAGCAGCCCTTGGTCAAGTACAGAGTGGATACTTTGAAGTTTGACTGTAATTACATCATATAACCATGTGTTTGAATCAAAGATTTCATGCTAACTTGTTTCTCTCAATAACTAATGGCAACAACACAACCCATTATTTGACTACAGAAAGGTCTGTACAACATTATGGGAGTGGAAACACAGGCACAAACAAATGCACTGGGCACGCTTCAGCACACACACGTCCGTAAGGGGCCTTTATGCACAATGTAAAATGGCAGCTGTGAGATGCTTGTTTATAGTTTGGGGAAATTAAGTGAAAAATGTTGAGTTGCAGGGATCTCAGTTTTTTCCCGCTTGGATACATTGTTAGGTTGTTTTTGTTTATTGCATGACATTTGTGCTGTATGGTACTATTTAGTGACTGTGACTTCAGCTCTGTTTACACTGAACTGAAATCAACCTTACCGTTCTGTCATCACAGTTGTTCACAAGTGTCAGAAATGTTTTATAAAAGTGTAATATTCAGCTGATTTTTATTTATTAAGATACATTTTAGTTAAGGCAAAATTTTTTCTAATGAATGCTTCAACTTATTTACATAGATTTCTCAACTCAGAAAAATTGTCTATATAATTAATGAAATCATCACTGCATCTTTTATGATATAATATGCATTGTTAGGCCTAGAATAGAATATTAGGAAAATACATCAGATATATTTGTTAAAAACAATACAAAGGGCTTTATGAAGAAATTAATACTTTCAGTAAGGATGCATTAAATTGATCAGAAGGGGCTTTTTAATTGACCTTTTATTTAATTTTTCTAACAATATAAGAACATTCATTGTATGGCAAAAGTCATCAGTGTACTTCAATTTATTTACACACATTTCTCAATTCAGTTTAGTATCTATGAAATTAAATTGCGTCACATTTTCACATTATTCTGTAATACGGATAGCCCTTATTTGGGGACTATTTTTTCTCGTTAATTTTGACATTCACCATGTTTGATACTGATTCCAATGGAGAGCAATTTATGAATTTGACTACAAAAATAAAGCATGGTTATTGGAAGTACTTTACTTTTTAAAATGTATGTATTTTGCTGTTGCACATTCCTTTTCATGTGCATAATTTGGATAATTTTTTCCTCCCCAATTTTGAACAGAAACCGTCTTGTTTGATCTTGTTGTTTTGTGCTAATCTGTCAGTATTTGAGCTCTTCATCAGAGTCCGCTGTCTCTGTATCATCACCCTTTCAATCAACACTCCAATCTATAAAATCTGTTTGTGTCACTGAGCAAATCTGAGTTGCCATGTGAGTCACGCACATCCTGGCATGAATCGGGAGGATTTTTCTGGAATTTCAATATGCATTAAAACAAACAAACAAAAAAATTAATAAATAACTCCACATTTCTGCCCACAAATTACACACTCCAGTAGTGTGAAGCCACACACACACTCCTGCACTACATGATAAAATAATGAGTGGCAAATTAGTCATACTATTCATCGACAAAATGACGTCAGTAATGTGTAATCAGACATTCACTCACTTATAATAGTAGTCCCACCACAAAGGGGCAATTCGACTTCAAATTCAACTTCAGAAAGGACACCTTGCATTGATCAAAAGTGACAGGAAATACTTTTACATTGTTACAAAAAATTCTGTTCAAATAAATGCTGTTCTTTTTAACTTTCTATTCATCAAAGAATGCTAAAAAAAAAATCATCATGGTTGCAAAATATTAAGCAGCACAACTGTTTTTAACTGAGCACCAAATCAGCATATTATAATGATTTCTGAAGGATCATGAAGACTGAAGGCTGGAGTAATGATTTTTAGAAATTCAGCTTTGCAGTCACAGGAATAAATTGCATTTTAAATTGTAATAATATTACTAGTGCTGTCAAACGATTAATCGCGATTAATCGCATCCGAAATAAAAGATTTGTTTACATAATATATGTATGTGTACTGTGTATATTTATTATGTATATATAAATACACACACTTTCAATATATTTTGAAAATATTTGCATGTATATACATTTATATATTTATGTTCTTATATTTTATATTATATAAAAATATATTTAATATGTAGGCCTAAGCATAACACATTTTTCTTAAATATATACATGCATGCGTTTGTATTTATATATACGTAATATACACAGTATACACGCATATAGTATGTAAACAAAAACTTTTATTTTGGATGTGATTAATCATTTGACAGCACTAAATATTGCACATCAGCTCTATTCTTTCTGTATTTGAGCAAATAAATGCAGCCTTGCTGAGCATAAAAGTCTTATGAAAAAAAATTAAGTCTTACCGGCCCCAAAATTTGAACAGTTGTGTAAGTGCCTCGACAAATATCTGAGCTTTGCATTTTGGCCTTGAAACTCATTTGCCTGCTAGGCCTCTATTGTAAGTGCATTACTGCATTTCCTGTTCTTATAACCTAAGGGGAGAGTTGACGTGATATCCTGAGGTAATTGACAACATGACATGGCTATACTGTCGAAAGAGCTTAAGCTGTTCCTGGAAAATTCCTGTAACCCTTTCCTTTAATCAAGAAATCGACACGTTGATCTCACATTGCACCAGTTTGAACATCAAAACTCAAAGTCTTGAATCTGCAGTTCCTCTAACAGCAGCTATATGTTTTTTCCCTCAAGCCTTTTGTCCTAGATTTAAAGTCTTCCTATAATGTCTTTTTAGGAAGAACAGTCTAGAAAGGGCACAACAGAATGCCAGTATATATTTAGCTGCAAAAACACATTTTACAATATCAAACTCATTAGATCTCTCTCTCACGCTCACTCTTTTTACCCATTTGCTAATGTTTGATGTGTCATTATCAGACAGACCTCAGGTGGGTTTCTAATTCTCCTCTCTGAGGAATGAATGCCCAGGGTGACTGAACTGATTTGCAGAGATATGATCTGATTCAGGAGAAAAAGAGAGCATAACTGTGTGTGCGTGCGCTTAAATCCTAATTAACAGGCAGGGATCTCGTCCAGGAGAGTTGAAAAGGATGTTGGTTAATCAAAGCAGAATATGTTGAGGTCCGTGTGTGTGTGTGATAGGCCAGCTGTTCTCCTGTCTCATTCAGCTCTGTTCTTCCTGTTCTCCATAATACAGAATTATTAAAGAATGCTGTTAAGCTAATGCGCTTTTGCTTGCCCTTGTTCTTGTTCTCTCTCTCTGTCTGTATCTCTTTCACTCTTTGCCATTTCATGTCAAGTTGTCTTCATCAAGGCGATTTGCTACACTACAATCATCATCATAAAATGTATCAGTAATTTAGAGGCTCGGTTCAATCTAAACTACTTAATTGAATGTATACCCTCATGATTTCTCACCCTCTTGTCAGTCCTGTTCTTGAGTTTGTTGATTGACACTTGTCATTTGTGTGTCTGTGCGGCGTACACTTCGTGCTGCATGTGTTTGCATGTTTTATGGGAATGTGCGTGTATTTAGTGACGCTATATCTCTCGTTGTTTTTGGCAGCCCCCAGCACTCGTTTGTGGTGTGGACCACCCACTCTCTGCTTGCTGCATCGCCAACCTATCACCTGACAGGGTAATGCACCAATCAGCTGCCTGTGCTTTGTGTCATGTGACTGTGCCTGCCATTTTTGGCTTCTTTTTTTTTTTAAACCTCCTTTCATTTGACCTTCTCGTTGTTTAGTAGTGACCTTCCTGACCTGCTTGACCCATCCTCTAGTCTAGAGCTCAGTTGAATTGGGAATCATCTTTGTTATTCCTTACAATTATGTTAATACTTGGTTCATGATACAGTACATATTATCGTTCCTGTTGCAAAAGAATTAAAAAGTGCCTGTCTACTTTTTCAGCGGTTTTGGTGCTGGACTGTGTATTATTCCCATTAATTTTTCCCATAGGTATTTAAAAAAAGTCTTTGTTAAAGATAAGCCATGAACCAAACCAAACGGCCGCATATTGAATCACAGCATTAAAAACTTTTATTTGAAGCAAAAAAGTATTTGAAAATCGGGTAGACAGAACTACAATCCCATGAAGAATTGTGAATTACATAATTGAATTATAAATGATGGAGAAATATAAATCTGTTGATTATGTATGTAGAAACAATTTACTTGAATTTATTGAAAAATATCTGCGTGTGTGCGCGTGCAAATATTTTAAGTAGTTTGAGATCTGGACAGAACTACAATCCCATGAAGAATTGTGAATTACATAATTTAATTATAAATGATGGAGAAATATAAATCTGTTGATTATGTATGTAGAAACAATTTACTTGACATTTATTGAAAAATATCTGCGTGTGTGCGCGTGCAAATATTTTAAGTAGTTTGAGATCTTAGGGGTTGGGCGCTAAAAGGTTTTTGGTTTTGAATTCTCTGTTTGGTGGAGATTTCTTCACAGAATCATGGGTATTGTAGTTTTCCCTCAGGAATTCCAGTTAAACATGATATATAAAAATATTTAAAAATTGTTATTAAAAATGTAAGTTATTAAAAAAAGATCAATGCCTTGAAATGGAAAATAAGTGCTACCAGTGTATTGGTTCTGTATCGTGGCATTAGTATCACAATACTGCTCTGTTTTTATTTAGTTTTGTTCACCCATACCTCCAGAGTTTGTGCTACAGCATGATTGATCCCAAAACCCCTGTCCCACATTCCATTCATCCAAGGCAGTGTACATCCAGATGAAAGGACGATACGTCCTGGTTGGATATCCTGGTTAGATCTCATTGTTAAAACCATGAAGCTTGTTAAAATCATTGAAGTCCTGTCCCTAGGCCTCATTCATAACATTTTTTGTTTCCATACTAAAAGCTTGAGCACATAGACAGAATTAATCAAACCATTCATAGTACATCTGCTGTTGTCCTGCACACAATTCTTCAGTAGTCTGAAAATACACAAGCTTTAGGAGCCATCTTTGCTTAGCCCCAGAGTAACCGTAAGTGCTTATTATGAAGCCTTTTTAATTATTCATCATTTTATATGCTTACAGGGTCCAGAATTAACACTCGCCAAGCACCAATTTCGAAAACAAATTAGCTTTAGTAAGTAAATAAAACAGAGCCAGTTGGCCGGGAACTTTATTAGGAACTGTAGCATTGGAAGGTTTAAATGAAATTGCAAGAACAAAAGTAGGACTGCTCACTGAACCCCCCACCCCCCCACATTGAACGTTGTTTTTTCTTCATTTCCCCACCACTCAAGAACATTGACATTTGCTGTGTTTAAGCCATTCCTGTTTTGTTTTTTTTGAGGTTGCCGTTTTACTGAAGAATAAATCCTCCATCACAGGTATCTTGTAGGCTCTGTCAGGTTTTCCTTCATGATTACGCTGTATTTTGCTGTATTAATTTGACCCTCTCAAGCCTTCTAAGTTTGCAGAGAATCATCTCATAAGTATGATGCTGCAATCAAAGTGGGGTCGGTGTTTTTCTGACTCCGTTTTATGGCTTGTGCCAGACATGCCGTTTGGTATGAGAGCCAAAAATCTATTTTAGCCTCATCAGACAGAACCTTCTTCCAGCTGTCCTCAGTGTCTCTCACAACCTGGCAAACTGTAGCAGAGATGTCATATGACATTTTTGACCAGTGGCTTTCTTTTTGCTACTCTCTGCTGAAGAACCAGGAAAACCACTGAAGCTTGTAGCTCTTTCAGAGTTGTCATTGGTCTCTACTAGGTGGTCTCTTTCTTACAATCGTTTTAACCGTACTCCAGTGGATATTCACTGATTCGGAAATATTCTTGTCCATCTCTTGACTTTTGCTTTTCAGTTTAGAGTTTCTCTTCATGCTGAGTTTGGCACAGTAGTGACTCACCAGAAGTTGGATTGTCCAGACAGTTGTGTATTGATTTAAGATGCCTGAAACTAGTTGGTTGCATTTATGTATTTGTGTGTTATCAAGTCAATTTGTGTATGTGTACCATTCAAGGGGTTGGGGTCAGTACATTTTTTGTTTTGTTTCAAAAATACCAAGGTTGCAAATACAGTAAAAACTGTAATATTGTGAAATAACTGGTTTCTATTTTAATTCATTTTAAATTGTAATGTATTCCTGTGATGGCTAAGCAGAATTTTCAGCAGCCATTAATTCAGTCTTCTGTGACGCTTTCTAATATGCTGATTTGGTAATATTCTGAAACATTTCTTCTTAGCAATGTTCAAAACAGTTTAATATTTTTTTTATTGCTGCTTAATATTTTTGTGGAAACCATGATATTTTTTCAGGACTCTTTAAATAGAAGTTTCAGAAGAACAGCATTAGAAATCTTTTGTAACATCAAAAAATGTCTTCACTGTCACTTGTGATTAATTTAATGAATCCTTGAAGAATAAATGTATTAATTAAAAAAAAATCATACTGACCCCAAACTTTTAAATGGTCCTGTATGTTTTATTGTATAGTTTTCGAGCACTATAGTTCAGTGCTGTAAAATGCATGTGAAACGTTTCTCTCATGATGCAAATGTGAGGAACAAAATTACAATGTGTCATTTGTGTGACCATTGCCACTTTTCTGAGCGATTTAAATTAGCATCTCTTATGTGATGCTACCATTGACACTGTCATGTGCTGTTTGTCACAAATATATTAAAAATATACGTCAGTTATATCAGAAAGAGAAGGAAGAAATCAAAAGAGATAAATGTCTGTCTGGTTTTGTTCCACTGTTATTTGGATCAATGGTTGATCTTAAAATGTTCTGACTGTTTGCTCTTTCACCATTAAACTTGGAAAAGGCCAAGCAAGCTGACCGCAACATCTGAAAGAACATGGACCAGTTTATTTGGGTTTCATGATACTTTTCTTTATACATGTGCCCTAAAAAGTAAGGTTAACATGGCCCTACAGGAAAAAAAATCCTTGTCTTATTAGTAAATTGGCAAAACAAATTTCTCATGAATGTTAGTTTTAGGTTCTTTAAAGTAAAAAGCCTATAATTTCTGAGATCTTTGACCTCGTGTTTGTTGTGTAACTTTGTGTTAAACTGCCATTTTACATGTGCTTTGTGTTGTGAACGTTCAGTTGTGTTTGTGTCTGTGCGACGTGTTTATCATTTGAGGAGGGTTTCTGTGCTGTACTCGTGTTGAAGATTTAGGAGGCACCACATCTGTTTCACACCTAATGAATCAATATTGCGTTTACAGTCAAAACATGTTTGATCTTTTCACACAGTGCTTCTCTGTACCACTCTCACACTTAACAGGTTATAACCGCATTTTAACCTTTCTTCTCTCTCTTTCTCTGATGGGCAGATCACTGGTGGAAGATGATGATGCTCAGATGATGAAGGTGTCACTGGGATGCAGTGAAATGGGGCTCTCTTCCCACTTGCAGGCCTCAAAAACAGGAAACACACGCTTCTTTACCAGCAACACACACAGCTCTGTGGTTTTACAGGTGAGTGTGTGTGATTACATACGTCTCTTACTAAATGTCAGGGTGGGTGTGTGGGGTGTCACCATCTGCCATTCCGGCATCATGTCACACGTGAAAGTTTGTGTGTGTGTGTGTGTGTTCAGAAGAGACTGTGAAGGTCATCTCTGCTGTTACTGGCAGTCAGGCTTTAATTCACACATAAAGATAATAATATTATGATCATCATCATCGGCGGTGGGCTCAGTCCTGCCTGAGGTCCATGAGAACATTCATTAGCACCTATCTGTGGGTCACCTGACAAGTGCCAGCATGTGCTTGTGTGGGAACAAGGTGAGAATTTGACTGGAATTTGCCAGTGAGTCATTGCAGACAGATCAATAAGTGAAGGTCACCTGATTCCCTCTGTTTGTGTGCATGGGTTCATATTTATTTAGCCACTGTTGCATGATGTCCTCTTCACATTAATACATTGATTAATGCGCGCGCACACACACACACACATATTTACATCCATCTATCTATCTATCTATCTATATGCAGGCACACAGACAAATTAATGTATTGCGTGATTTCTAGGTATCATCAGCACTGACAGTTTACATTGACGTGACGAGGTCACTCTATTGATTCCTATCACAATGTCATTGACAGCTGTCATCCATCACCTGACCGGCATTCAGGCTGAAATCAGCTGCTGCTGTGAGAGGAGGTTAATTGTGTTTATATGAACTTCAAATTACCATTTATTAAGATTGAATCAGTTTATTGAATCGAAATACCATAGATGAACAATATTTGAAAAAAAAATATTTGCCCACAAATACCTTCACACAGTGTTTATAAATGGGGATGCCTCAACACAAAATGCTTTTACTGTCAAATTAGATGCAGCAAAAGCATAGTGTTGTCACCTTTTACATTTTACATTTAGCAGACGCTTTTATCCAAAGGGGGCATGAATGAGGCACATCACAAGCTTTTAGTTTTAGATTTTGTGTCAGACGCTGATGTTATGAGGCAGGTAAAGACAGCCAGTTGGCTTTTCCATGTTTGTCATCCAGCCCTGAGGGTGTAGTACAGTGTTTGGTGCTTAAAAAGCTTGTGTGTAATTTCAGTAAGTGTAGCACTGATTGGATTGTGCCTTATTTCATGACCTATCACATGCTTGGCATTTGCTTTTGCACATGCTGCTGGATTGAGCCTGGCACAGCGGCTTTGAAAGAGAGAGAGAGAGAAAGTGTGTGTGAGTGGACCATGGCTCTGTCCTGTTAATTATGGCTCGTCTCTGCCATGGGAGTCCATCTCTGCTGCTGTCCCCTCATGCATCTGACCTCCTGTTCATTAATTAACCCCACAATCTTTTATTCAGAAATGACGCTCATGGGACGCATAGTAATGATACAGCTCCTTAACATTCACACTCTGTTTTCTTGGGTGATAACAACAGATTAGATTGTTTTTGTTGTTGTTTTTTTTCCTCAAGACCATTTCGTTCAATCACTTTCCTCCTCCTCAGTGAATTCATTAAGTCCATTACAGAAATGCCTGTCAGTTCTCTTACTTCCTCTGTGTTTTATGTTCTTCTCTCTGTCTCTCAGGGTTTTGACCAGTTGAGGATAGAGGGCCTGCTGTGTGATGTCACATTGGTGGCGGGAGATGGGGATGAGGCATTTCCTGTTCACCGAGCCATGATGGCCTCCTCCAGCGACTACTTTAAAGCCATGTTTACAGGTGAGCGAGGGAATAAGACATGGGATAACAAAGGATTAGGTGAGGTGAAAGCAAGTTTCCACGTGAGGAAGGGATAAAAGAAGGAAGAAGAGTGTTTTGGGACTGAAAGGTCAAAGTTTGACAGAAGAGAAAGAGAGAAGAGACTCCAGTTAAGTTGTTGATGTGCTATACTGGATTGTTTTGGTTTTTGCTTAATACTGTCCCTTTAAATCTTCTTTTGCTCTTTTTTTTTTTTTTTTTGTCTATTAATCATGTAAATATCAGTTACTTGTCAGTCTCATTTAGTCACACCAGAGACTTCCCCTCAGAGCTCAGAATATTCCTGATTCTCTCTCCATTCACCCCCTCCCTCACTCGCCCTCTCTCTCAGAAGCATACTCCGTTTCTTGGGAAGAAAGAAGAGAGGTAAAAAAAGATAAGAAAGCAAGGGGTTTGCTCGGGGTTATTTGGAAAAGCTTGTTCAGAGATAATCATTTAGATGGAAAGATCTTAATTTCATTATTTGAATTGAGTTCAGTTATTCCCTAAATAATTATGCCATTTAATACTGCATACAACCAAACCCTGGATTAGTTTTTAACGTAAAACTATTATGAGAGAGCACTAAACCAATTCTAAAGAAGCAGTGTGTCCAGGGAATCCTCTTTCTGCAGGCTAACACCATTCCCTAACTAGAGCTGGGGGGGAAATCAGTTTATTGATGCATCACGATTCTGAATCAGTCCAAAAAAATTCAGAATTAAGTCAAGTGTACATTATTTAGTAAAGTGATTTCCACTTTAATTAAAAAATATATAACAAACACGATTAATGTAACCATTTTAAGGAAAAAAGGATGTTTTGTTATAGCTGTTGGAGCAAGGGTGCCGCCATCTTGCAATACCTCAGCGTGTGACGTCACGGGTTGGTTTGCTCCATTGGCCAATGAAGTTATATACATTGATAATAATAAATGTTCTTGAGTAATAAATCTCAGAATGATTTCTGAATGATCATATGACCCTGAAAACCAAAGTAAAGACTGCTGAAAATTCAGCTTTGCAATCACAAGAATGAATTAAAAATGTTAATATTAAATGTTAAAATGGAATTTTTAAAATTGTAATATTTTACAATAATAGTTTTTACTGAATATTTGATTAAATAAATGCAACCTTAGTGAGCGAGCATAAGAATCTTTCAAAAACATTAAAGGGGTCATATGATGCGATTTCAAGTTTTCTTTTCTCTTTGGAGTGTTACAAGCTGATTGTGCATAGATAAGATCCCTGAAGTTGCAAAGACTAAAGTCTCAAAACCAAAGAGATATTCTTTATCAAAGTTAAGACTCTGCCACGCCCCCCTAAAACGGCTCGTTCTAACACGCCCCCATATATCTACATCACTATGTGGAAATATTTGCATAATGCCGCTGACCCCAATTCTTTGAATGGTAGTGTATGAATTTTTTTTCTCCATGATAACAGTATTAATCACTCAGGCTCTTCCATGTAAATCTTAAGTTAGTTAAGTTAGTTAATCTTAGTCATGACAGGCGTCAGGACATTTTGTTGATTGCATGATTTCTTTCTACAACATCGCGGCAGGTAGCCACACCCATCAAATCTAATTGATTAAAAATTTAGCTTTGAATAATGTTGCAATAATCATTGAAGTCTGTGTAAAGGCAATTCAGAGAATTGTTTCTAAACACATTATAAATGCTAGAAATGTATTGCTGAAAGCACATTACAAAGACTGTGAACTATGTAGTGCTGAATTATGGAGTTAGACCATTACACAGTTTTTCACCATTTTTGTGTTCAGGATTTTTTGGGTGGGTCTCGGTGACGCACTGGAGCCACTGAGCATGGCCCCTCCCCTAACACTATTAATAACGAGAGCTTATTAGCATCAGTGGTTTGTCCGCTCAATCGCGAGTTACTGTAATTACCATTAGTTACTACAGTTTGCTATCTATGCCTTCATCACGTTAATGTATATTACCTGGTTGCGAAAATGTACAAAACAGCTTGGTCTCCTTGTTTAAATTTCCTAAAAATTATGATATCAAGAAGAGATTTTGTGAAGAGCCACCTTAATGGAGAGCTGAGGATCACCACCAACACCCGCCTCTGTTGTGAATATTTTAACACCAGATAGTTTTACAAACTTTCATCAGAGACAACTGGGATTCACTGATAATCTGCTGTTACTGGTGAATAGTGGCAGCTTTCCCGCGAGTGGGCGTGATTTCAGCGCAGACAGCGGACACATTTTAGTGTGCAGACAATACTGCTTCTTTTTTCAAGATTTTGATAACTTATTTTATTTACTTGGCAGTTATTTTATCATTCAAATTTGGCTGGGTTAATAACACATTTTTCTGTGATGTGACAAACTCAGAACACATACAGTATTTAATATTGCTTTACACAGACTTCTATATCTATACTTTATCTTCTGATTAGCTGTGATTGTCAGGTCGTGCACAAGACACACTAATCGTGTTCAGTTGTATATGGAATGTGTATATAGGCCTAGCTGAGAAATGTGCTGCATCTGTTTATAGGTCAGTAGTATTTGTAAGCCCATCAAAGTCCTGCTCACACATGTGTGCCTTGAGCATTTCAGCACGGCAAGACTTCCATAATTGCTGTCTGTCACCTTCTTTTATTCTCCCCTTGTGTTCTACTTGTCTTTTTCTCTCTCTATCCTTCTCTCTTTCTCCATCTATCCTTCTCTCTTTCTCCATCTTTGTATAGTTGAGGAATCACATCTGAATTAATGAAAGTGGTTTGATTTATTTCAAACGTGGCTCTTGAATAAGTGGCTCATTATCATGGTAAAGAGAATTGGTGACAGCTTGCAGTGAGACTCACTTATCTTCTCTCTCTCTCTTTTCCTCTTTCTCTCATTCTCCTTATTGTTTCGGTCACCCTCCCCTCTCTGTCTTTGATCCGCTCATTTGCAACGTTTTGTGGCAATCCCTCCCCCATTGTTTTCTTCCTCATTCTCTTCATCTGCTTTTCCTCTTTTTTATATCTGTTTTGCTCGAATATTTCTTTGCACTGATTTTCTCTTGCTTTCATCTCCTCCCCCCGTCATCTCGTCCTCTCTTTCTCTTTTTTGTTTCCTCAGGTGGAATGAAAGAGCAGGATTTGATGTGTATAAAGCTGCATGGTGTGAATCGAATAGGGCTAAAGAAGATTATAGACTTCATTTACACCGCCAAACTCTCTCTCAACATGGAGAACCTACAGGACACCCTAGAGGCTGCTAGCTTTCTCCAGATCCTGCCTGTCCTTGACTTCTGCAAAGTCTTTCTCATTTCTGGGGTAGGACACTGTTCAAACTATTTTAAATGTGAACACTTTTAATCTGCAATGTATTTTGTAATGTTAAAACACAGTTCCTACCTCCTCTTAGGTGTCGCTGGACAACTGCGTGGAGGTGGGGCGCATCGCCAACACTTACAACCTCACAGAGGTGGACAAATACGTCAACAACTTTATCCTGAAGAATTTCCCCTCGCTACTTGGCACCGGCGAGTTTGTCAAACTTCCATTCGAACGTCTAGCGTTTGTGCTCTCCTCCAACAGTCTAAAACACTGCAGCGAACTGGACCTGTTCAAATCTGCGTGCCGCTGGTTACGCTACGAAGAAGGCCGAATGGAATATGCCGCCAAGCTAATGCGCAATATCCGATTCCCCCTAATGAGTCCGACAGAACTCATAAACCACGTACAGACTGTCGACTTCATGCGTACGGACAATACCTGTGTTAATCTTTTATTAGAAGCCAGCAACTACCAGATGATGCCATACATGCAGCCGGTGATGCAGTCGGAACGAACTGTGATCCGTTCAGACAATACCCATTTAGTGACCCTAGGGGGCGTGCTACGGCAACAGCTTGTTGTAAGTAAAGAGTTGCGACTTTTTGATGAAAAAGCACATGAATGGAAGGCACTGGCACCCATGGATGCCCCACGCTACCAGCATGGGATCGCAGTGATCGGGAACTTTTTGTATGTGGTCGGGGGACAGAGTAACTATGACACGAAAGGTAAAACAGCTGTGGATACCGTGTTTCGATACGACCCGAGGTATAACAAGTGGTTTCAGGTGGCGTGTCTGAATGAGAAGAGGACCTTTTTTCATCTGAGCGCTCTCAAAGGACATCTATACGCTGTGGGTGGGAGAAACGCTGCAGGAGAGCTGGGTGAGTCAGCAAGGGATTTAAGTGTCACAGCAGGGGACAGATTTCCAAGGGACACGCTGTGCTTCAGTTGTTGGCATGTTTTGTAAATATAACATTAATAGGTGTCTTGCAGTGCTAATTATGTGTGGATGCAAAAAAAAAATTTAAATGCTAATAAGATCTTGATATTTTTGGTTGGTCCTAATTATAGACAGATTTACTTGACATCACCTCCACCTTCAGAACCATGGACAAAATTACACAAAATCAAAAATTACAACCCAGACTACATTAAATATTGGTTTATATGCAGTGAGGATATACATGGTTTGTGCAGACACCATTGTGTTTTGTGATGCGAGTTATTGAATGCTATGAGCTTGACACTACCAAAATTTAATTGAAGTGTAAAAATGTAACTGAAGTAGCAGCAGATCATTTCGTAAATGTAGAGCGCAGTCTTGGTTCTATCCATCAGTTGTTCATTGGATTAACGCAGATCTAAATGCGAGCTTGCAGTGGATCAGATCGGAGAAGGCTGTCATTTCACCGGAAGTTTGAGCTATGACATTTAGATGAAACATTATTACTTAAATTAAAGAAATAAATCTATGCATGGATGAATTGTTCACAATAAGATCAGAAAGATGCATTTAAAAAATATACGGGGTGATTTTCCATAAGTTGCTGACGGTCAATTTTCATATTGAGCCTTCGTCATGAAAATAACTTTACTACATATCGTTGGGCATATGTGGTTTACTGTAGTATTCATATATTTAAAAAAAAATTTTTAAGGATATTGTTGTTTGATCATTTGGAACATATATAAAAATGAAATCCCAACTTAAATTAGATCATTCCAGGCTACAGAAGTTTGGGTGCCCCGGAAACAACGAAGTGAAGAACCGTGAAACTCAAAAACGAATTGCCATTGCCACAAAAAGCTTTCAGCAAAAATATTAATAGTATACAGGATTTTAGTATACTCTGTTTTAGCACTGTTTGCTTTATAGTCTTTATTCCAGCAGCTATGGTTGTATGTCTGCGTCAGGCAAAGGTGGAGCTTAACCAGAGATGATAGTTCTCACAGGGTGAATGCCCCAGTGGAACGTGGGTAATTAAAATGCAGGGGCAGCTCCACATAGCAGAACAGAGTGCAAACACATCAATGCCCCCACAACCAAAAAGGGCCTTCCCATCATCCACAGCAATGCTCCTCATTACTATACACAAACACACAGATCAGATACATACAGCACCTCAAAACTGACAGGAAAGAGACAAATACACAACCACACAGATGTCACACTACAGAGGTTTGATAATGGACTCTGATGCGCTCACTTCCACAGTGAGACAAAAAAAACTGGGGTAACATTCGATGACGCTCAAGCCTCTTGTTTCTATAGCGACCACCGTCATTTATTGCTTTGAGTTGAATTTAATCTTTTTACCCCGTACTGTTTGAGGACTTTGCCCGCTGTCTAATATTACTGCCCAGTGTGTTTGATTTGTCACTCTCCGTACAAGATTTGCAGGAACTGCAGTTAATTACGAATGACAAGGGATCTATTTTAAAAGCTACATTACCCAGATAACTGGTGGTGGGGCCTCATATCAAAAAAATATCCAAAAGAGACAGGCTCTCAAAATTAAAAAAAAAATAAATAAATTTTATTACATAGATGCAGAATGATTCTGCAGTGTTTTAAAAAAAAAAAAAAAAAAAAAAAGAGGTGATCCGTTATTATAAATGTAGACTGACAGATCCTGATGAATGTGGATGCATGGGGTTGTGAAGACTGAGTGAATGAATGTTGTGCAGGTGATATTTATGATCATAGTTTACTGATTTTGCCTTTGAAAGCTCTGAGAGTTGTATTTTAGTGTCCGTCAGAACAGACTCTCCTGTTGACGATCATTATTGGAAAACAGGCTGTCTGTATTAAATAGTGTGCTGTATATTACTGTAATGAACTATTTTAGACCAACAATTTTGCTTTTTGGCGATTCGATTGAAAAGCCAACCACATCAGTTTTAGAAAAACCTTGAACAAATAGGTAGAAACTTTATGTACACAATGAGCTTATGCTGTTGTGAAGTATGATGAACAAATGGGCTCCCATCTTTACTTTAAATACCCATAATTATGCTGTGATAATTATATAATATGATATCAGTGTGAGAGTCATAAACCTGACCGCTTTCAGACCGCTCATTTTCTACCTGCTGTTGTTTAAGATTTTACATACAGTTGGTTTAATAAACATGGAGAAGCTATATTTTATGTAGTCACAGTTTATTACCCTTCTATCTTTTAGCCAGAAGACCGACTCCGCATGAAGTGCTTGTTCTGTGATTGGTTCATCATCTCTGTGGCCGAATGACTATGAACCGATATTAATGGTCATCAGAATCTAAACTTGCATCTGTTCGGTGTGCTGTGAAAGTACACTAGTTTGGTTGTGTATAATTGAGCACTAAAGCATCCCTGTTCTCTCTGTTTGTGAGAGCATGACTAATGTACAAGAACTAATTTTCTGTTACCTTTTAGACCTCTTCCTGGATCCATTCTAACTCAGCTGTTAGTCTAGTCATCTTTATTGGCATTCAAGTTTTCATCTCTAATTCTCACCATCTCTTGTCTTTCTCCAGCAACTGTGGAGTGTTATAACCCCAGGACAAACGAATGGACGTATGTGGCCAAAATGAGCGAGCCGCATTATGGACACGCAGGCACCGTTTACGGAGGATACATGTATATTTCAGGTACATGTCACATATCTGTATATTAGTTAGTTATAAGGACAGTAAGACATTTGTTTTATACATTTGTTTTTATAAAGTCTCATGTTCACCAAGGCTGCATCTGTTTGATCAAAAATACAGTATTACAGTAATACAGTACATTATTACAATTTAAAACAACTGTTTTCTACGTTAATTTAATATAAAATGTCATTTATTATTGTCTTGACAAAGCTGACTTTTCAGCAGTCATTCCTCCAGTCTTCAGTGTCACATGATCCTTCAGAAATCATTCAACTATGCCGATTTGCTGCTCAACAAACATTTGATCAATATTCAAGACATTTATGCTGCTTAATATTTTTGTGGAAGATGTGATAAATTCTTTCAGCGATTTTTTAACATTATAAAAAAAACATTTTTTTAACATTATAACTGTTTTTACTGTCATTTTTGATTAATTTAATGTATTCTTCCTGACTAAAAGTATTCATTTATTTCAACAATAAAAATAAATCTTACTGAACCCAAACTTTTGACCGGTAGTATATACAGGTACATCTCAATAAATTAGAATGTCGTGGAAAAGTTCATTTATTTCAATAATTCAACTCAAATTGTGAAACTTGTGTATTAAATAAATTCAATGCACACAGACTGAAGTAGTTTAAGTCTTTGGTTCTTTTAATTGTGATGATTTTGGCTCACCTTTAACAAAAACCCACCAAACCTTAAAACCACGCACTTCACCTTTAATATGTGCACAAATTCGAGAAAAAAAGTACAATTTAGTCACATACTCGTCCTCATTCTCAAACACATTTTCACAGATCAGGGGTCTCATTTATAAACGTTGCGCATGCACAAAATGGGCATAGAAATTGCGTATGCAATTTTCCACGCACATATCAGGATTTATAAAAACAAACTTGCCATAAATATGTACGCACAGTACGGACATTCTAGACCATGCGTACGCATTCTTTTTCCTGGAGTGAAAAAAGTAATGAAGTAAACAACGATTTTAAAATCTGTTTTCATTTCTGTATACACATTTACATTAAATATTCCACTCTCATTAATGGAGATAAGCACTGAAATTACGTAAAGTCATTACGCAGAAGTTGAACAAAAATGATATGAATTTAGACATATTTAGTGGATGCGCTTGATCACTTTTCCTGTGGCATGCTGTTTTAATGACAGCGAGGAGTGCTATAGGTGCACAATAATTCATATTTAAACTAAACTTCTCATGTTATGAGAAAATATTTTAGTGAGATCAATGATGCGCACTTACTTCGATATTATGGTGGACACTGCTGGATTCAGTGGTCGAACGGTCTATTGTCCGGTTTGAATGACTCCAATGATAATAGCTTACTGTACAACCGCAGCTGCATGGAGGTGTTGATGCCGTGTGAAGGCATCTCCACAACATTATGGAAAAATACCACTGTATTTGAAGGATACAACTTGAAGAAAATGGTAATTTGCATGTTTTCTTTTTAAAATAGACTACTTTGTCAGTGATGTGCCGAGTCAGACAATTCTATTTACACTGCAATAAATATAGGCTAAAAATAGCTAAAAGATGTTCACCTTATCAGCAAAACTGCATAAATTTAATTTGATTTGAATGGTTTAAAACAACTGAAATACGATTCGGCCAGTGGAAAAGAATGCGATCAACTCTATTCTAAAATATTTATCTGAGAACTATTTTAAACCGTTTTGTTTTTATGGATTTTGATATATTTATGCTAAAACATAACAAGGATACTGGATGATTTTTAGCAATAAGGATAGTGTATGGCACAAATGGCATTTATAGTGCGTATCTCATATTTCCTAAATGTCTTGTACCTTTAATGGTGTTAAACATGGTGTCACGTGGATGGGAATATGCATGGGAATGATATGCAGATGAGGTTATGCATAGTAAAACTAGGCGTTGTAAGCTCCATATATGGTGATTTCGGGGAGGAGTCGGGGTGGAGATGCACGTACGCACAATCTTCCCCTGACTGGGATTCATAAAGGGATTTTTGCGCAGGTTCTGGCGTACCTGAAAATTTTTGTGCGTACGCAAAATCTAGCTTTTGTGCATACATACACTTTTAGGATGAAATCTACGGAGAGTTTTATAAATGAGACCCCAGGTATCTGGTAAGGTGTCGCTGACAGGAAGAGGAATATCTGGAAGGTGAGAATGAGATGTTCTCACCACACACACAAACTGATCCTCCATAGATCAGTGTGTGTGTGTGTTCCCTCTATCGCACAAAAACACTTTCAGATGGCAAGAAATGAACTTCGCTAAACAGAGGAACACACAGAGACACTCTCTCACAGGATGTTAACCTGCCCTGTGCAGGATTGTTCCCATCGCATGCTCGCTTTACAGGATTGCAGGTCAAATCCTGCTTTATGGAGATGAGTCCTACTTTCACTGAGAATGATAAACAGAGAGAGAGATGGTTGGTTGGATAGGGTGGCGAGAGGAGGAGATGTAGTGATGACATGAATCAGAGAAGTGTGTTTATGTGTGATAATGAACATTGAGGTATGTAGGAGGAGTGTGATCTCTCTCACACACACACACACACACACACACACACACACACACACACACAAAGAGAGCTGTGATAATGCTGCTCAAGGCTTTCTGTCGTCTTCTCCCACACACACATTTACCTCTCCATAAGTTAGCTTTCCCTCTTACATAAGCATGAGACAGATGACTCTCATTCAACCCTCCAGCAACCTCTAAATAACATTCTGAACTCCTCAACATGAAATGTGAGTGCTGTCCATGAGGCAGTGTCTACTTTTTTTTTTTTAGTATTATGTAGTATTTATTTTTTTCAGTGTTATACTTTTATTTACATTTTTTTGCCATTTTTAAAATGCTGTTTATTTCTCTGCCTCTAGAACAGTGTTTTCTATGGACGTACAAGGCCATGTGGATAGGGAAAATAAATGTTAACAGTATTATATCTTATTTGGAATCCAGTCAAATCCCAAAGACAAAGTTCAAGTTCCAATTTATCTTTTTTCCATGCTGAATATTCTGTTTCACTCATAAAGGTTGAATGCTTTCTGAATGGAGCTAATGAAAAATGAGGGGGAAAAAAACTGATTTTGATCAATGTGACATTTCTGGAGAGTTAATAGCTGTCTCTTCGAAAGCGCACACAAAATATAAAACCCTCCTCCAAGTCACTGTCTCAATCTGTTCTGCCTCAAGCAAAAGTATTTTCTAGTGATGTACATATACACATTTACATTGATTCTCACACTTCTTTCCTCCTTCCTCTCCTCCACCCATGCTTTTTCTCTAGAGTATTTTTATAATTGCTGATCCTTTTGTTTTTCCTCTGGTGTCTGTGTCCTTACTTCTGCATGCCTCTCTCTCTCTCTCTCTCTCTCTCTCTCTCTCTCTCTCTCTCAGTTATATGGGTCATGAAGCAATGGAGTATTAAGCTCTGCACTCACAAGAGCTTTAGTGTGCATGCATGAAACAGTCTCATGTTATGTGCTGCCTCATGCTTTGTTCTCTGTCATCATCTGCCCTTCTCCTTACCCTAATCTCACCTCTTCCTCTCTCCTGTGCCTGTTTCCTCACCTTTTCACTTCAAACTTCTCTTTCTGCTTTATTTGTGTTTTGATTCATACAGATGCACTGGAGGAGGAGAGTGACAGAATGTGTGTGTGTGTGTATGTGAATCATTCTCATCTCTTAGTAAAGGAAAGAATGAATGGATGGATAAAGAGTTAGAGGGCAAAAATAGGAAGGATGGAGAGAGGAAGAGAAGGGAGGGTCTGGTTGGCTGATGCCCAGGTGCCTGATGGGATAGTTCTCTTTATTTTCAGCCCTCCCTGTAGACATGTCCTGTTTTCTTTTTCATCTTGTCTTTTTTTTCCTCCGCTTCCCTCTCTAGTTCATTTCGGTGAGTGTGCGGACCTGTTTGTGTGTGTGTGTGTGTGTGTGTGTGTGTGTGTGTGTTTTCAAAGATGCATTATTCAAACTTAACTCTTTCCTCAGCAGACCTTGAGAGAGTTTCCGTGCACACAATTATGCATGATTCATTTCTTGTTGTGTATATCTAATGCTTCCAGGAGCGTGCACACACAAGGTGTCCGTTTCAGCAGAGAAAGTGATGTGAATTCTCTCTGCGCTTTGTTGTGCAGGTGGAATAACCCACGACACCTTTCAGAAGGAGCTCATGTGCTTCGACCCGGATGCTGATAAGTGGTCTCAGAAGGCTCCCATGACCACGGTCCGTGGCCTGCACTGCATGTGCACGGTTGGAGACCGCCTCTACGTCATTGGAGGAAACCATTTCCGGGGCACAAGCGACTATGACGACGTGCTGAGCTGCGAGTACTACAGTCCCGCCCTGGACCTGTGGACGCCGATCGCCGCCATGCTTCGTGGGCAGAGCGACGTGGGCGTGGCTGTGTTTGAGAACAAGATCTACGTGGTGGGCGGCTACTCGTGGAACAATCGCTGCATGGTGGAGATTGTTCAGAAATATGACCCCGAGAAGGACGAATGGCACAAAGTGTTCGACTTGCCCGAGTCCCTCGGTGGCATCAGAGCCTGCACTCTGACCGTATTTCCGCCCGAGGACCTCTCACTCTCTGGCTCACCAAACCGCGAGTCTCCTCTGTCTGCTCCTTGAGAATGGATGGAGGGAGAGTGAGAGAGACAAAGGAATAAAACAGACTGATTGGTTGACAGACATGCAGATGGATGAGTAGATGCAACTCCATCACCCCAGTCTCTCTTGTTCTCTCTCTCTCTCTCTCTCTCTCTCTCTCTTTCTCTTTCTCCCTCTATCTCTCTCTGTCCCCACAGGAAAAAGACAATGTTTGCACTCCCCACTGATATACGTTTCAATGGTGTCTGTGGTGAAACCCCATCCCTTCCCTCAAAACGATTCCACTTCTCTTCCTCATCCCATCCCTTCGCTTCTCTCCTCCTGAGAGCAAATGCTGAAAAAATCCTTCCGTCCCCTCTTGATGAGAAAGAAAAATGGAAGCACTCACAGGGTTGGGTGTAACTACATGTTAACATTGCATTTGGGGGGGTTGTTGTGTCTCTTTTGGCAGGAATAACCTTAACTTGAACAACAAATGACTTTGCAATTCAACTTTTCTACCTGAGTCTCCAGAGTTTTGCTATGAAGACTTTGTTCCCTGATCCTACCTATTCTGAGGTCGCCTACCCCCTCACTATTTTCTCTCTCTCGCTCTCTCTCCATTATGCCCGCTCATTTTTCCCGTTTCTGTCCACTCTCACCCTTTGCCCAGTTTTTTACCCTCATTCTCTTGTCACTCTCAGGGGGTCAGTTGACCTTTGACCACAGGATGAGGAAACAGTTTTAAACTCAGGGGTTGGCCTGCCCCCATCCCTCCCTGCCTAACTGATATTTCATTTCTCTACTCCTGCTGTTGTTATGAACCATTAACAGAATTGTGTTTTCTAAATTTAATAAACAAGATTTTGAGGAAAACAAAATAAGTGTTGGTTTGATTTTCATTTAGTTCTCAGCTTTCTTCAAAGCTTTTTCTATGCACTGGCCATCAACATCATATATTGTGAATACACAGTGTGCAGTGGAGTGCCTGCAACACCTTTAGCCATGCCTGTTTTTAAAATACAGAATGGGCTTAAGTGCCATATTGCTTTTATTCAAGGTTCACTACACAATTGTATGTTTGAACACAGCCGTTGTTGACCAATCAGCATCTATGATCAGAACAATCCATTTTATAATCAAGAATCCACTTCAACAGCTATGTTAAGAGTCGGTTTAATATGGACTTGAATGGACAGAGACACCAAGGCTTTCTGAAGAGTTTGATGCAGTCCACATCATCAGAGTATGCAAAAATAAGTGTGGACATGCAAGATAGTATGTGACCATAAGACAGAATAAAGCAAAAGTGTTGCTTTTAAAAGCAGTTTGTTATTTTCTGGTGTTTGAATGGTCTGTGGTTCATTTCATCGGGAAATCACAGTTTCATCTGTTTAGGGACCTGAGCACAAGCTCAAGATATTTTCACGTTTTATTCTACAATATTAAAATTTATGTGTATTGCCTCGCTTGAGAGTTTTTGTTTTGGCGGTTGATAACAACTGACTAAATAGGACTACAGAGGTTGTCCGGAACATTAAAAGTCATTATGTTGAACAGGAACTAACTAGATTGCTTTTACAGCATTGTTGTGTTTATATGCACGCTTTTGCTGTTTTAACTGTTTTAACTTTCCAAATAGCAGAACTCCAGAGTTGACAGAAGTGTAATATTTTATGACCTAACTTTAGGGTTTTTTGTTTTGTTTTACTTTTGCCGATTGTATTTACAGTTCAAAATATATAAGATTTAAGTTCACTGAAGACTTGTCTTGATGAGACCAAAAAAGAAAAAAACAAACTTTAAGTGGTCACCGAGCTTATATTCTGCAATAATCAAAAATCACAACAACAACAAAAAATCTATTGAATTTGCTAACTTCTGAGTTGACAGAGAAAATAATTCTTACAAGCTTATTGCTATATGCAATGTCATTGATTACATTAGTATTCAATTTGATGATAGTGCCACCTGTTGGTCAACAGCAATAGCGTTATAAGTAATTCCACATATTGCTTTTAAGCTGCTTTTCCTAAAATCTACACTGGGGAAGTATTGTCCAATAAAATCTACCATTTATGACATTGTTGTGCTTGCTTCTCTCTGTCTCAGGCAGGTGTTCGGCTCAGCCTGTTGTGCTGGTGGTGCCCAGGTGAACTACCATCTGTGTGAGTGTGTGTGGCCTCCCGACAAAACATATGGTCACTAATCAATTACAACTTAAATGAGGCACAGGGCTCGGCCCAAACTTGCTCTAAGCCCTGTGGGGCACAATCAAGTACAGACTTTACATTGGTTAATATCTCTGTAAAGCAACAGACCATTGTGCTCTAGTTAGTCAAACATAATTGACTCCTCTGATTAGTTGTGTCTGTGTGTGTCACAGGCATTAGTTTATCAATTTGATTGCCAGCTAGTGCAGTGAGTGTATGTGTGCCTGACGTGCATGGGGACCTTCTGGCCTCATTGGTGTTGTGGCCCTGGGCTGCATCAGTTGTTCTAAATTGCATTAAACCTCATGGGAAAACAGTACTAAATGCAGGGTCAAGGGCAAACACAGTTGAGAGCATCAAGAGTGTGTGTGGACACTGGACAGTAATGCTGTTACTATTAGAATAAGGGCAGGTTTTAAAGCACTGCAATTCTCTGCTAAATGTAGCTCTACAGGGGACGCCTCGCACCCATAATCCCAGCTGTCCTCCATGAAAGCAGGATTAGTAATCATATGGTTTTTGTTCCCCACCCCCATTTAAAGGGGTTCTCCACCCAAAAATAAAAATTCTCTCATTATTTACTCACCTTCATGCCGTCATGTATATGACTTATTTTCTTTGGGAAAAACACACTGAAAGATTTTTAAGAAAAATAATCCATCTCTGTGAGTCCATATAAAGTAAGTAAATATGACCTCCAAATCTAAATGTTTAAAAAAGTGACGAAAATCCATACAACCCCAGTTGATGAATCAATGTCTTGCGAGGTGAAATGATAGGTGTGTACTACGAAAAAGTTTGCAATACTAGTATTTTTAACTATAAACCATCGGCCAACAGTCATGTGTGGGTTAATGAGAGCGTTGTGAAATGCTACGTCAATGTTATGAAGCGTGATGTTAGTGTGCAAGAAGTGATATGGGCTGCGTCTGAAAGGTGAAATATACTGCCTTCAGAGGATGCATTCCAAGGTAGGAAGGCATCAAGGCATGTCTGAATCCAGTTATGTGTGTAAGTTATCTTCACTTCCTGTCTCCTGAGATGCCTTTATCTGAGCGATTTTTGAAGGCAGCATAAACGGATTCTTCACTGCCTTTGATATCCCACAATTCTGTGCGTTCCATTCTGTGACAGTTAAAAAATAAATAAAAAGCCAGTGGTCAGTTTTTGTGTAGATTTTTCACCAACTTTTTCCACTTTCCTCTTTATTTGTGGTCATATGAAGAAAGACAGTCATACACATCTGGGACGACTTGAGGGTGAATAAATGATGAGAGAATTTTCATTTTTGGGTATAGTGTCCCTTTAATCATTCTACTAGAGAATATCTAAATGAAATGCACTGAAGAGTCTATTTCTACAGCCCACCCTGCAATAAGATGCTTTGTTCCTCTACACCTTCTCGCACACAACTGTCTGGCCTTTGCAATGACGTGTGCCACCTTTCAGCCAGCGTTCTAGAGGCCCGTTTTCAACTTGCGTCATGTTTCTGTGTGTTATCTTGCACTGCTCTGACTGCAGAATTCTAGAATCAACAGAGTTCCGTCTGGCTGCCTGTCTACACCTGTGTCTGGATTTAAAGACACACTTCTAGTTGAGCAATAGCAAACAGACAGATATTACTCAAAACGAAGACCTTAGCCAAAAAGAAACCATCTACTCATGGCTTCTCTTTCTTTTCCGCGCTCCCTCCAAACGACTGTTCTGGGAGAATGTCAGTCTGGAGAGTAGGTACAAAATTCAGTGAAAAGGGTGGATTACTTTAAGGCAGCAACAAATGCACGTGTACAGCTATTTACCGTACTTACAACAGTGATATATTTACAACAGTGCATTCCAGTCACTTAAGTGTAGGGGACTCCAAATTTGCAAAAATACACAAAACTACATTTAATTGCTTGGCTTGTTCCTAAACTAACGCTAAGGTACAGTTCAGGGGTGTCCAGACCTGCTCCTGGAGGGCAACCTTCCTGCGAAGTTTAGCTCCAACCTTAATGAAACACAACCAAAATCAAATAAAGGTCTTAAGGATTATTAGAAACTTTGAAGTAGTATCTCAAACGAGATACACAATTTAGTGTATAAATTTTACTACAAAGTGCACTTACACAATTTAGTGTATAAATGTCACAATACAGAAGCATTTAGTTTTTCATTTGAAGGAAATTTGATTGATTGATTGATTGATTGATTGATTGATTGATTGATTGATTGATTGATTGGAGCTTGACAGTACATCTAATGTACACTTTAGTATCCAGCTCAGCGGATTGTACCTTTAAAGCAGTTACAAACAATGTACATAATGATTGACCTACTGAGCAGAAGACACCGTTTAATCATTAAAAATGAAGGATATGATAAATAATTGATTTATTCATTTAAAATGGATAGCGTTTTTGTAGATGGTCAGACAAAGGACCTGAAATCTTGGGTTTGCAAAGCATTGTTATGCTGCAGGGATGCTGTAAATCATAATGATATAATATATGAAGCATGAAATAGACTACAGCTTTGACCTTTTATTGCAATCTGAATAAGATTCAGATGCCGTGACCTCAAACTTGTGCCATACAAATCAGCCAAGGTCATGGGAAGGAATGATAAATGGCACTTTATGATCCCTAGATGCAAGATGTGCCGTCATTCCTCATGAATGAATATTATGGTGATTATTTCTGTCTGGATGGAGCCCATGTTTGTAGTCTGTGCTGATGGTGTGGTAATGTGGCGTCTAAGCATGTCTCACAGCTGGTAGTATGCTAATATTGGATTGTGTTTTGTTTTATTCATTGGGGTAGGGGAGATTGATTTCTGTATATTTATGATTTGATGTTTTCTTGATTGCCTCTTGCTTGAAGCTGTTAAACATTTAGCATTCATATTGTCATAATAAACCACCAATTAGAATGCATTCAATGCCTTATTAGTAAAACGAACTCTTGAATATGCAAATATATGTGACTGTTTATTTAAATGCTTCTAATGTTACAATTATGTGTAAAATGGTAATGTTACATTTAACAATATGCATAATCAAGCCTTAATATATTTCATGTGCATAATCAAGCCATCAGCTTAAGTTACTCTCTTCCTCTCACTCTCTGCTATATTATTGTGTCATATGAATGTTTTATGGCCTCTGTGAATTTAGCAATTAATACTTTTCTTCAGAAAGGCTGCATTCAATTGACAAACAAACAAACAACAGTAATAACATTTATAATTATTGTTTTTACTGTATTTTTGATCAAACAAATGCAGCCTTGGTGAGCAGAGGCGACTTTCAAAAACTTAAAAAGATCTTACCAACCCCAAACCTTTGTCAGTATGTCGTTCTGTTATTACTCTTGCATCCTTTAAGCATGATAATACCATGACTGATATCATATCTTTGTTTTCTGTCTTCTCTTGCTCAACAGCCTCAGAGGAATGTCTTGAAACCTTTGCGAGAACTGTGCTTTTATGTCATTGTAAGATCAGGAATTCTATGAATTAGACTGAAATTAAAGTGCCGCCTTCTGTTTGCAGGATGAAGAGTGCGACTCTCTCAGTCTCAGACTGCCACTCTTGAAAACAAATTTGTGTGTTCCTGTTTTTAATGAATTGTTTTGTTTCCAAAAATACAATCCATA